CCAACTTAAAAAATATAAAGGTTTCAATTCGTTTGTATCTTTATTTTTTATATTTGTTACCTCATAACTCCGTGAGTTATATAGGCCGTGATTTTTTATCCGAAAGGATATACTTACAGATTGGTCCCTTAGAAATTTTATTAAAATCATTTCAGTAGATTAGTTTTTAAATCAAAATAACTGGTTTTACCACAATTAAAGTCGAATTTTAGTTGATTACTATGGATTTAAACAGAACGTAATCAGTTTTGCTATTATTTTTTATCAGGCGCTTTCATTTTTTATTTTCAATATTTTTTGTACATTGTAAACAATTTGTCACGGAGTAAATTAATTACTAAAATCGGTACATACAATGAGGAGAAGAAATTAATTATTATTATTTATTCGGGCAGAAGCCATATTGTTTGTTAGTAAATACATAAATATGTTCATAATCATGTTTGTATATATATATTTTTATGGGTGAAAATGGTATGGTAACGGTAACCCCGCCTGCGCTAATGGAATATGCTGGCGGAGCACCAGTTAAGGGTGATCGATGAGAATGAAAACAGGCCAGTTAGCCCATCATGATAAATTCATCAGGAATTAACCATGATAGTTTCCAGGCGAAACCGCAAGGAAGTCAACCTGGTTGGGTATATTGCTAGCAATGGGATTCTCAATCTCCATTACTAACAATCCCTTTCCCCCTATAAAAATATATATATTACTACTTAAGCCTTCCTCGATAAATGGACTTTCTAATACAAAAATAATTTTTCATTTAGAACCAGTAGTTCCTGAGATTAACGCGTTCAAACAAACAAAATCCTCAGCTTTATAATATTAGTATTAATGAATAAGTACATGTATTATACATCTTTTTTTATAGTATTGTGCTTATTAAATTTAAACCATAGAAATACAAAGAAACTGTTTATAATCAATCGATCAGTTCTATAAAATATAATCATTCATATTGATTTTTTTATAGTAGGTATTTTTTTTTATACAACTTAGAATGGCAAACAAGCCGACGGTCCACCTGATGGAAAGTGGTAACCATCGCCTATAGACATGAGCAGTACCATGGACACAACAGAGTATACTGTTTCGCCCATGATACCCACCATGCGTTGCCATTCCTGAGGACTCAGGTGTTATTCCTCTGTACTTAGTAAATTCACGCCATATCCCACCCTTCAAACCGAAACACAGCCATGCAAACACAGCTGCTTCACGATTGAAACACGAATGGGACAGAGGTAGCTTAAATACGTATTTATAATTTCTTTTTTCCTCCTTTTTATTAAAATAAGATTACTTTTTAATTCGGCTGTATATCTTTATATATGTTACGTGATATGTTCATAAATTGCTGTTTTTATTTTTTATTTTTTTTGTTATTGTAGGGTATCGACTTTATGTTCGTACCGTATAAATTATGGGTCTAATTAAACAGAAAATGTTTATAAAAAAGAATTCTTAAATTATCCATGTTTCTTAGAACATGAAGTTTGCAAGAATTAAAAAAAAATTAAGAAAATACAATAACGTATAGTTTGTATAAGTATAAACAATATTTGTATAAATATAAGTATAAATATGTTATTGTATTTTATTTATATTAGCTACTAAGCTAGTACAAGCACTATGGTTTTTTTTTTTCGATATTAAAATCTATATTAGTATTTATATTAAGTTTTTTAAACCATTTATTTATTATTTCATACTCGCAGGCCCTGTCCAATTTATTTATAAACATTAAAAAATATTTTACCATACTAGGCGTTATTTTGCGGGAGTTCATATCACTGGTTATTTAAATAGAATTATTTTGTTTAATTCCACAAACGTACCAATGGTAGCAGAATTAAACAAAATAATTCAATTCAAACAAGCGGTCAAAAATAACCAAATCCAATGGTTCTTAAGTTGCGCTTACGAATAGAATTTTTATTTAATTTATATAGTAGTATATATTTTTTATGATGCTTTTACATATATTATGTACTAGATAAGCGATAAGTTGTCCATCTGATATTTATCCACGATATACATATAGAACGTAGACGTAATGGTATGAAGATATAGGTACCACGTGGTATTGAATACTAGACATCCACGCATCTCTATCGATTTTTTAATCCCACCACTCGTAATGTGTAGTAACACTCTATTTTTCTAGAGAATAATAAAAACAAAACTATATTAGTGCATTAGAAAAAAAAAAACTACACACAACATCCACTATCACTGTTTCTACGAGAAGCACACTTGAATGCATTATTACACTTGATATTAAAAAAAAATAACGCCACTACTCTATCATCTAATCACTATTTCGTAACATTTCGCCGATTTTTTTTTCACACTCACCATTACATGGTCGAAATCGTATTCCGTCCGCGCACTCTTATAGCTGACGTCAAACTGCCGTTGCCTTTGGATTTTCGGAGTGGCAGACATTCGATTTTTGAAAACAGCTGACTCTACTGTAACTTGAACTATCTCATGTAACAAACAAGGAGAGTGCAGAGATCTTGCTAACTGGACATTCACGGTCTAAAGTCAAAGGTCACCGCCGTGCAACAATTCGAAAATCGAACAAACGTTCGCGCCTTAAAATGCGACTTTATTTTAAACATAATTTAATAAAAACAAACGGGATAATTTGTGATTAAAAACATTAACAGTTTTAATTTGATGCTCTCTTTTATAAAATGCCGACGCCATTTTATGTGACGGCAGAGACATACGTAGTGCACGGCGCATGCGTCAATTTTTATGTAAGATTTTGCATTCTAAGTACTTATTTAAATAATTGAATATAAACAAATTAATCTAGAAAAATCGAAAATATAACTCGATATAGGTATCTAATAATGTACTGTTAGTAACAGAAACAACTAAAAAATATCCAATTATATACCTATCAGATAAGAATCTCTCCTTATTAAGAAGGTACGCGACCTTACCTGTTAGAAGAAACTTTATTAGCAAAAGAAACCTTTTAAGAAAACCTTAGTAGTTAGGTAAAGGTCGTGAGTTTGATTCCAACCGACAGTATATAATACAATACATAATGCTTTATACTTTCACTTCAAATGCGGTTTTCTTTTAATGGAAAATAATTGCCGCCAATATTAGCAATTTACACTATACAGTAAAATTTATAATATACATTGGCGATGTAACGATAAATAATGATAGACATTGACGTGTTTAATATTATTTTCCAGGACAGGTCTGGCCCTTATAAAAAAGTGTATATGTACTCTCAGATATGTCTTTGAAAAGCTGAAAGCTCTGCTTGCATTCTGGTGCCCATAAAAGTTTAGAGTTAGCACGGGCCACCTGACTATATCCAAAAGCTATTTTGACCGACGGCTTAGATGAGTCATAGATTGTATCAAACATTCTCTTTCTACAGGTAGAGTGCGTAAACCTTACCATAGACAAGAAAACAAACGACGCAGCATCTAATCACGGAGCACCGAGAGCGAACTATTTCAAAAGAGAACAATTCTTGACCTACATAAATGTCTCGACTCAAACACAATTTGCTCGGCTTGCGTAAACTGAAATGAAAGGCATAGCAAATCCATTCTGCGGAGGCTTTGGATCACTGCAACACCAATATAATGCACTGCAAACAGTATTTATAGTCATAAGCATTGATTTGTAAATAAATTGTCTATGGTTCAATAGAATTACGTGATATCTACCTAGCAATTTTTAACAGAAAAGTATCCGGCGAGTGCGTGTTGAATTAGTTACTTGCCTATCTACTTCTGTGTGTATGAATGGTAATGAATTTAAAAATATAACAATCCGAATAAAAATTATAGGAAATACACAAAATAATGGGCGCCCTTATCTCTAAAAGCGATCTTTTCCAATCAAACTTTGAAGCTTTGGATGGAAAGAAGTACCTAATTATAAATAGTATACTTGGAGGTATCCTCGATTGATACCTTTGTAAAAGTAAATACTTTTTTTTAATGGGTGAAGATGGAATAGTAACTCCTTCTGCACTGTCGGTATACGCTAGCAGGGCACCAATGAGTAATGATAGGCGAGGATAAAAGCATGTCGGTTAACGATTCCATAAGAATTAACCATGGTGGTTTCCAAGAGGACCCACATCTATGTGGGTCCTCTAGATTGAGGTTATTAAACGCCATTACTAATAATCTATTTCTTCGTTAGGTAGATATTTCTATTAAAGGAAAATGTAATAGTTACACCTCCAGCGTTATTGGTTTGTGTTGACTGAGTATCGACAAGGAATTAATTCTAGTCAGTTATGAGGAATTTCTCAGAAATGAATCAAAATGATTTCTAAGGAGGACCGCATGGAAATCGAACCGTTACTACATTGCTAGCAATGTGGCAACTAATCCTGGTTATTAATAATCCCCTGCGTGTACTCTAAATTTATTTTTTATTTATATTTTAGTAACATCTAATTAAATAAAAATTATGTTATATTTTTCAGTGAATTTATCGAAATGTGGTCTATATAACAATATTTGAATGTGATGACGTTACGATTACGTTCATGTTTACGTTGATAACCACTATAGATGCTGCTCTCGCCTCTCCAAACACTCCCCTCCCCGCCCGCCAAATCTGGTTCTCTATTTACCCCGGACAATATTTACCATAAAGAAAATTATTATTGTTTTTCAATAGCGATATGAGCAGAGACATCTATTGGGTGATAAATACAACACCATACATTTGGTGTTTTTTTTACAACAGACTGCTATTACAAACTGCTATACACAGGTATTAATATATAAAATAAATTAAAAAAATAATATAATATAACGTTTGCAATATGTTTTTCTAAATTACTTAACACAAATATTGTAATTCACTAGTTAACAATTATTTTAGTAATAGAGTGCCATCTATCCATGTAATATCTACAACAAAACGACACTGTAGTCTGTAGATAATCTGTAACTGAAATGTCAATTTGACGTTCCAAATAGATGCTAATGTCATGTCAACATTATCTGTCTGTCATCACTATGATAACGGCCGCGCACGATTTACATATTATTTGAATTGAATAATTTTTACGACAAACTGTAAATCCTTCGCACCTCCTTCTCCTCATTTCAATTTTGCATAAAAAATACACCAATAAAAAATGGAAACTAAAAATACGAAAAATGATCAAAAGAACCGTAAGTAGCATTGTCATTTGAAAGTGAAAAAACTGGGATGGACACAACTAGTAAACTATTGTATTAATATAATACAATAAAAGAATACTGTTTATTTCAATAAGCAAATTGTTTGCTGCTGAATCCAATATCTCCCATAGGTGTTTCCTAAATATGTTAATAGTTCCTATGTCATATAGGAATAGAGCCCATGTGCATAATGTTAAGATTCTAGACTGTATTTTTACCGGTACATTAATTATTTAAAGTCTTTTACAGTATTTTAACCTGTTAATTTGTCTATTGATTAAACACTAATTTTTTCCCGGCATTTCCAAATTTACCCTTGCGATCCACCTTAGTTCAAAATGTGTTGGTCCTTCCAACTTAATTTTTTTCAGAAGGTAGCTTAGATTACGTCAGGCCTCTGAAAGGAACCCCAGTGATCTTTGGATACAAAGCTCTACTGAGAGGGGAAGGGATTGTTACTAATTGGAACTTGTACCCCATTGTTAGCAATACCCACCCAGATTGACCCATCACACGATTCCCCCATCTCATTTATCATTCATCTCTCACTGGTATTCTCAGCATATACCAACAGCACAGGCAGGATTACCAGAATAGTAACAGCACCTGCACTATATATTTTAGGGAGGAGAGATTGTTAGTAAAGTAGAGGTTAGTCCCCATTGCTATCAATATACACCATTAGGTCGACCACCATGCAGTTCCCCCTGGAAACCATCATGACTTATTTATCATTGAATTCGTCATGATGGGCTAACTGACCTGCTTTTTCATCCTCACCTATGATCTCACACTGGTGCCCTGCCATACATGTGTATACCATTAGCGCAGGCGGGGTTACCATTCCATTAACATCCATTAAAAAAAAGCACCTGCACCTTTGGTATATGTATTTATTTTATGCGACTTAGAATACTAAATAAGCTGATGGCCCACCTGATGGAAAGTGGTAACTGTCGCCTATAGACATCTATGTATATATCAGTATTATTATCTATTAAAAAATCTTTTGATTGATAAGACTCGCATGAAATCTGTATTTCTTTACTCTCCTACAGAGTAGACTGTTGGTTATATGTAGATTAAAGACATAATTTTTGTTTTGCCAAAAGCTGACTGAGAGTCAGCAATAAGTCCACCTTTTGTGCCAAATATTTTTAGTAATATGGTCAATAATAAATAAATAAATTACTGTATAAAGAATAGTGATTCCTTAGTGATTTATTGACATTAATTCCATACCATATCACTTTACAGGGTTTTTGAAGCTCTCTCTAAAGAAGAATAGGCTGAAGATAGATCAAGAATTATCAAAGCTCAATCGTAGCTCAGATGTAATAATTCTTGATGAGTCATTTGATAGACTGAAATCAGATTTACACAATAATGTGAGTATTTATTTATATGTTTTACATACTTTCTGAATGAATAATATTATTTTTGATGCAACTTTGTGTAAGTTATTTCTTATGTTATTAAAAAATGTGTAAAGATTACTACATAAAATAGAAATTTAATGTATGTGTAAGTAATAAGAGAAATAGTTAAGTTTCATAATTAATACTTTTTAGGTACTTTCTTTTTAATAATCATAAGCTTTTGAAATCATTTCCTGTACTATATACTTGTACCCTACATGCATAACTTTGGTTGATAGAAATCACAATATGAATCGAATTAAAAAGTATATATATGTATAACAAAAATACATTACATTATTTCTTCCAATTACAGGTACAGAATGCTCAACTAATTTATTCCCCAATCATCATAAATGATTCCTGTGAATCGACAAATGAGAGTTTACCAAAAATTGACATTTCTGACAAACAAATTAAAAGTCCAAACAAGAATGGAAATGTAAGTGTATTTTTTTAATATAAGAGTATGTTTGCTATGATCATAGATTCAATGATTGTGTATAAAATAAGATCAATTGATTGTGTATGACCAATCACTAATAAGGCATACCATATAATTGTTTATTACCATAATTAAGTAAAAAAGCTACTAATCATAAGAAAGCAGTGTCCCCTGGTGTTAACAGTCTTTAGGCCATTTTTATTGTACACTACAATAGGATTTCATTTGATGTGGTTTGTCAAGTCAATTATTTGGCATCAGTCTTGTTGACAATTATTTTATAATAATTTAAAACACCTTAAAGTAATCAGTATGATAGTCCCCTTTTTCTCATTCCTATGCTTTTCCAAAAAAAATGTTATTAAAATCGAGTAAAAAATTTAAAATTGCTTATTTTTTAAATGGTTTAAAATATTATTTTAAAATTAACATAAGTAAGTTCATAAAATTCCCTTTATACATATTTATGGTTATAAAAATAGATTTAACACTTACAATTTAAGATAATCATATAAATGAAAATTCATTTAAAAAGAAGTTTATTATTGTAGGTGTCATTTAATTGTTCCAAGGAAGATGTTTCTATATCAGAACCCAAAAATGCCAGACCCAGTATTGGAGGATGGTCTCCAGCCCAAAACATAATCCTTGCTACACCCAGATATGAAACAGTGCCTTCAACACCTCGAGATATAGCAAATGAATCTTTAGAACAATGTTCCATGAAAAAAATACAACAATCACAGAAGAAACTGTTAGATGACCTTTATGGCGAAGCTTGGAAATCGATTCCTACACTTTTCAAAACCATATCACACAACTATCCCAAAATGGATGGTGTTTCAAAGAAACTACAGTATGATGACGAAGATAGTGATAAGGAAAATATTAGGAGTGATTTGGAAAAAAACAAACAGTTATATTTAACAGGTTCCGATGTGAAACGAAAAGTTATGAATTATGGGGATACGGAGAAGAAATCAAAGAAAAAATTGTATACAGAAAAAGTACCAAATACCCCTGATATTCCAAGGACGAGAGTTGTAAGGACTCGTAATGTGAACAGCACAACGAAAAAAACAAAAGGCATGTCTGTAACAGAATTAGTAGAGATTATGAGGAAAGATGAAATAGATAACAATGATGTGGGTTTAATAACGAAAAAGGTTGAAAACATTTCTGTTACTCCTAAGGTTTTGGCGAACAAAACTGAAAACTTGCCTGTTACGCCAGATGTTGCAGTAAAGAGGTTAAGCTTTATGGGCTCTCTAGCAGGTGACTAGTATCCCTTATAAATCTATCTAAACTTATAATAAATCTGTAGAGAGGTCAATTCTGTACATGAAATATATTTCCAAAATAACTATCAGGGGGTAATTAGTGATCGATACTGATGCCAGAAATGCAATCAGTAAAATTTTTGTTTGTCTGTCTGTATGTTCATTATAAAAACAAAAACTACTCGACGGATTTTAACAAAACTTAGTACAATTATTCTTCATACTCCTGGGCAGGTTATAGTATACTTTTCATCAAGCTACGATCAATAGGAGCAGAGCAGTGAAGGGAAATTAGAAAAACGGAAAAAGTTACTTCATTTTTAAGCTTCCGTCGCGTGTGCAGCTTTTATGGCCTCTTTTTAAAATGTAAAAATGTCCACCCGTGCAACGCCGGGGCGGGCCGCTAGTTATAAATAAAATATTAACAACAAAATTCCTTTTAAAATGTAACAGTGTTCATACTGCAGCTGATGATGATGATGATACTGCAGCTAATCTAAAATGTGATAATGTATTAATGGTTTGTCATTTTAGAAAAACAATAATTTCCAATACTTCTCTTTGACTATTTAATAAATAAAGATTGAGTCTCACAAAAAAAAAATCTAAATTGTGACTAAATCAGTTATTTTAATCTAAAAGACAATGTATTCATGTATTCTCCTCCGACCAGCTCTCGGGCTATGTTCTTGACCTTCGTATTGGACAGGACACCTAGCCCTTCCTTTATTTGTCCCATGTAACTGATTGTTTGGTCTTCCCCTTCAAAAACAAAAACCCATTTTGCTGGGGGGAAAAGGATTATTAACAATGGAGTTTGACAGCCCCATTGCTAGCAATATACCTTATTAGGTCGACCTCCATGTGGTTCCCCCTGGAAACCATCGTGAACAATTCTTGTTGAATTCGTCACGATGGGCTAACTGACCTACTTCATCCTCACTGGTGCCCCGCCGGTGTATACCGATAGCGCGGGTGGGGTTACCATTCCATTATCATCCATTAAAAAAAAAACCCATTTTGCTAATTTTGAGTTAACTCAATATTTTATTAAAAATGTAATATATTAAACAAGTTTCTATTATTCATTCGTTCCTATTTAACCCTTAAAAGCCTTATTTTTTAGATCAAATTAAAAAATTAAAAGTGTACCCTTTACTGTGTTTACTAATGGGGAAAAACAGTATAAAAATCAAAACGATATTTTTATATATTTATTTTGCAAAAAACATTTGGTAACATGTAAACAGCCAAATATTAAAATAAAATCAATTGTAGGCGCCCAATGCGATTTATAACCCCGGTATCAAATTTGAAACTTCAGGTATTTAAGTGTTAAGAGCTACACTCTTGTCGGTGGAGTTTTTGCTTACTACGATTTCCAGCCAGTGTCTTCACCTCTTGATACGTTACGACGCTGTTTCCTTGATCTGCCTGATTTAATTATGCCTTGGTCTCCTCTTTCCCTTCCTTCCTTCTATCATGATGTTCATAATTTTGTTCTCTCTTATCAAGTGTTCCAATATTTTCCTTTATATGTTATAGACAATGTTCCGACGTGGCGGTGTCACCCCGAAGCTTTTCAATATAAGGACAATTATAAGACAATGCGGGAACAATTGGCCAGGCGATTGTACACCGAATTTAATGAAATAGTCTTCGATAATACTCTAGAAGAAGACATGCCTATACTGTGGGACAGTAAACTCAGGAGTACTGCTGGGTGATTAACATTTACTTTTTTTCCAAAATAAAAAATACAGCCGGCAGCGCACTTGTAATGCCTCTGGTGTTACAGGTGATCATGGGCAGCGGTACAGCTTACCATTAGGTGAGCCGCATGCCCGTTTGCCCTCTGTGTTATAAAAAAAAATTGAGTGAACGCAGTAGAGTGTGCCTATCGTCTACTTACTTGCATTCACGACTTCGAGTTCCTGGGTGGGATATATTACCAGACCGGAATAAGTAACTGCCTATTTCCTTATCAATACCATATAGCGTATGTATATTAAATTTCCTAGTGCTTGATTAAGCTGTTAAGAGGAAACAAATAAACACACTTTCACATTTATAATATTAGTAAAGTGTGTATTGCTAAGAATGACAACAAATGAAGTTTTATTTTAAAATTGAATAGTAGAAATTAATAGTGACATCTTATGAAATGTATGAGAATATAATGAAATATTGCAATTTCAGAAACTAAGAAATTTATAAAATTTTTGAGCAATAAAATGCACTAAAAATCTTTCTTTTAATTTGGAATTGTTAACAGTATTTAACTTTTTGATTGCCTATTTATGCCCTGCTTATATTTTTTTTTTTGATGGGTGAAAATGGTATGGTAATCCCGCCTGCGCTAACAGGATACGTTGGCGGAGCACCAGTGAAGGGTGATAGATGAGAATGAAAACAGGTTAGTTAGCCCATCATGATGAATTCATCAGGAATTAACCATGATAGTTTCCAGGGAGAACCGCGAGGAGGTCGACCTGGTTGGGTATATTGCGCCCTGCTTATATTATAAAGGTTAACGCAGTTTTTTGCAGTCCAGTATTTTTTCGTCCATAATGCCAGTGAGTTTTTCTTGGTATTATTCATATAGACGGTATGTAGTTGATGGCGACGTTTACCACTTAACAGTCGGGCTATTAGATTGTTTTATATTTCATCCTATTAAAATTATTTCGAAAGTTTGTAACGCAAAAACTGGATAAAAAGGAATTTAGTATACTGCTAAGTTATACATTAACTTAGCACATAAGATACTTTATATGTATATTTCTTCGCGCAGGCAAAGCCGTAGAATACGGTTAGTGTTGAATAAAAACCATGTAAATTTCAGGACGACAACGAATCGTCTACTAAAGAACTCTAAAGGGGACAGGCGAAGGACGTCGAGTATAAAGCTATCCACAAAAGTGATAGACACCCCACAGCGACTCCGCGACACGTTGATACACGAACTGTGTCACGCGGCTACTTGGCTCATAGACGGCGAACTACGGGCTGGACATGGCCCTCTATGGAAAAAATGGTAAAGTTGTTTTTTTTTTATAATCGTCAACTAAATTGCCAAACGTATTATTCTTTTTTTTTTTTTATACAACTTAGAATGGCAAACAAGCTGACGGCCCACCTGATGGAAAGTGGTAACCGTCGCCTATAGACATGAGCAGTACCATGGATATAACGGAGTATACTGTTTCGCCCATGATACCCCCCGTGCGTTGCCATTCCTGAGGACTCAGGTGTTATTCCTCTGTGACCAGTAAATTCACTACCATATCCCACCCTTTAAACCGAAACACAGTATTCCACTACTAATTCTACTAATTGCTAAAATCACTATCACCTATGGTGGTAAAGTAAGGGGTTAAAGTTAAGTAGATACAGAGAAAAGACTATTTTCATTATTAGTGGTTGGTATTGAATTACTATTTAGTTATTTAGTCGAATACAAAAACTACTATACATAGTAATATATATAATTTTATAATTTAGTAATAAAGTTATAAAACTAGTAATTACTAATTATTCAAATGAAAAAAATTGGATTCGCGCACCGCTATTTAAAACCTACACTAAAACAGCGTTTCCATTTATTCAAGGTCATATCTTATAATCTTTATTCTTTTACAGGGCAACACATGCTCTACGCAAATTTCCTGAATTAGGCGAGATATCAAGGTGTCACGACTTGCAGATATATTACAAATATTCATATAAATGCACCAAGTGTGGTTACAAGTGAGTGGTTTTTTTATTTCAATGATAAAGTTTAAATTACTATTTAATAACAAAGCTTAACTGTTTTGAATCAAATATTTGAACGTTTATTTGTAAAATATTAATCAACTCACAATATTTCTTTTTCTTTTCTTTCTTGTTCTTCAAAAGGGGGGTAAAGAGGTTTCTTCAGGGTCGGTCGGCAACGCGCGCGTTATGCCTCTGGTATTGCAGGCGTTCATAGGCTACGGTAACCGCTTACCATCAGGTGGGCCGTATGCTTGTTTGGCACCTCAGTGGTATAAAAAAAAATAATTATCGAGATGTCAGTCTTTTTAGCACACGTGGCCTTTTCTCAATGACTTAACCTCGCCAGCTATTTTGATAATTGATATGTCATCGCATTACTTCTTTATTTATGGAATGGCCACAGATATATTTAACAAACAAAGATCCTGTAAAAAGAACGAGAATATTTTTTATGTAAGTGCATTTATACCAATTTTGATGTTAATCACTTGAATGGTATAAAATATATATATATATATATATATATATATATATATATATATATATATATATATATATATATATATATATATATATAAAATATATACCTCTGTCCCATTCGTGTTTCAACCGTCAAGCAGCTGTGTGGCAACAGAGGAATAACAGCTGAGTTCTCAGGAATGGCAACGCGTGGGGGGTATCATGGGTGAAACAGTATACTCTGTTATGTCCATGGTACTGCTCATGTCTATAGGCGACGATTACCACTTTCCATCAGGTGGGCCGTCAGCTTGATTGCCATTCTAAGTTGTATAAAAAAAAAATATTACAGATTTTAGTATCGAATTACAAGAAAGTTGATAGCACCATAATATTTTAAGTCCTTTATATTGTACATCTGTTGTTCATTATCGTCCGGGGTCTTCATACCCTCTAGGATAGAGTTGGTGGGGAGTCTCGGGGAATTCCCCTTTACCCCGGCTTTAACTTCGGGGGCAACTACCCCCGGGTCTCTGGGTATAAGCTCTCTCCTTTCGATGAGTCGTGGTCATCTTAATTGTTCGATAGTTTTGAATGGAGTTTCCGAAAATATCCGCTAGAGGCGCAGCTAAAATTTTTAACTTTGCGACCCAAACGACAGTTGTATTAGTATCATTAAAACTAGGCACTCAGAGGGCGCCACCTTCACACGTGTAGTAGTATATCGTTATTTTCAATTTTTTTGTTTTTTCTATCCTTCAGAATTCAGCGACACTCCAAATCGATAGATATCACAAAGAAATGCTGCGGTTACTGTAAGGGCACCTTCGAGCTGATTCTCAACAGAAAGAACAAAGATGGCGTAATTGTGTCCACTCCGGCTAGGAAGGGCGGTGCGAATGACTTCGCTTTGTACGTTAAAGAGAATTATGGACAAATGAAAGACGGTGGGCGGTCCCATGGTGAGGTTATGAGGTTGCTTGGAGAACAGTTCTCGGCCAAGAAGAAATTGTGTACATAATAATTAGGTTTTATATACAGAATAGCATATGGTAATACTGGCAACATATACACTACATGAAAAATAAAAAAAAAAGAATTATTAAAATTATGAATAAAAATAACGATTTTTAAAAGCCCTTAATACTGGCAACTTGCATTAACTGTCATTTAAAAAAATAATTTAAAAAATTTCAAATGACATTATAAACTACTCCAGAGACCCTATTTTTGTTACAAAAATATTCAGTTCAATTTAATAGCTTAGTTACTGGCAACATTATGGTGGCTTACCATAAGAATTTAGATATTTATTCTACAGTAACTAATATTCTGCCTGTTCTGTAAAGGACTTAATCTGAAGATATACAGAGTAATAGAACATACAGAGCAACTGTTAGTAGAATAAACAACAAAAAATACCTTTCTGTTGGTCCAATTTGATAAACTATCTCTTGTTATATTTAATAATGTACTAAAAAAAGAAATTGTTACAAGATTAACAATCTGGTTACGTTGTGTGTAAACAGTTATTTATTTTTTCAATAAAGGTGCGATCACGACATATAATTGTATACAATAAACAAATTTGTATAGGTAAGTATACATTGTTTTTATTGTTTTATTTAATTGATTTGAGAATAAGTTCTTTTGAAGACTGATTTGTAATATTTTATGTGACTATTGTACTGGTTACAATTTATTTATATTAACATATATTAAGTTTAATTAATATATTTAAAACAGCTTTTAAACTATTATTTGATTGAAACCATATCAAAAATGTTTGATCTACCCAAACTTAATTCAGACAGAACTGTCGTATTATTTTGATTAATAGAAACAATTGTATTGTTCCTACTGACTTTGTAAACTTATGTAGCCAATAAATTTTAATTATATAAAGATACAATAAGGACATTTCTGAAGCGTCTTATCTCGAAACCTCTCGAATATAAATTTCATTTTTATATAGCAATGAAATCTTTATTGTAAGGACCAATATAAACTAATTTTCTAATAAATTTAAGTCTATGTAGTTTATGATGACCCATAAAAGAGATTTAACAATATCATCAATATAAAATATTAGGTAAAGGTAAATTAAAAGTAATGATACCTCAGAATCGAACATTTGAGAAAAAAGAGCTTTTAAATGATAAAAGGGTTCAATGTATCGCATATGTCAAAAATAAAATTTAACATTTTGTTATTAAATATAAAATGATGTTTTATAGTTAGTGATTAGTGAGTATTTACTCAGGACTAAGTAAGTCATACTCAGTAGAAATGAGTAAATTTTCGATATTTTACTAAACATAGTCGTGAAGTGAAGTGAAATTTCGAGTTGGGTGGTTCAATGAAGAGGTAGCTCAACTGTTCACTGGTGTAGAAGGTACGGGTTCAAATCCGATCTACTTTATTTCTTTTCAATTGCAAAATAATTTTATTGAAACATTCTTATTTTAATAATAATCAATTTCTATTGAGTATTTATTAATTTCTACTAGTATATGTGAAAATTAGACTCCCAAATGTTTTTATATATTTTTACTAGGTTTTGTTTGAATAATTTAGTATAATAATCAAATTTTTATTATAATTTTATTATTACTATAAAATATTAAATTATTAGAATTTACTGTTAACTAAACTAAGTGTTATAAACCGGTTTGTTAAGGTGATTAACAGAATAATTTGATAAACGACTGTATTGTTACTGAGGCGATTGACAAAAAAAATTGAGAAATTATTGTAATTAAATGATTTTTTATATATAAAATTCTACATCAATTTGTCTAGTAATATTTAATTTCTGCACAATGTAACCAATAACGGAACGTTAATTTTGATACGTTACCCTAGTTTTAATATTTCTATAAATATGTACATATTTGTGAATAATATTTGACTTGTTGAAGCGTTGATTTATGCGTTTTATTTGTAAACTATATTCAAGGTCATGATTCAAGATCATTGAAGATCATCCAGACAAGAACTATTGAGATCAGAAGGGAAAAAATGTTAGGGCACTTGATACGACACGACGGACTTATGAACATTATTATAGAAGCTAAGATAGAAGAAAGGAAGCGAAGAGGGAGATCAAGGCATAGTTACATCAGGCAGATCAAGGAAAAACTTGGTGTTGTGTCGTATCAAGAGGTGAAGAGACTCGCTGAAAGTCGTAGTGAGTGGCAAGAGCTTCACCGACAAAAGAGCAGCTCTTAAATAAGATAGATTCCATACATAAAATCTTTGTCCTCAGAAATGGCAATACACGAATGGCACTATGGGCATTATAGTTTGTTCTGTGGTATCATATTAATAGACGAAGGTTGCCTTCCATTAGGTGGGCCGTCAGCTTCTTTGCCATTTCATATTGCATAAAAATATTAATTTCATTCCTTATTTAATTTTAATTATAAGGGACAACTTTTTCATTATTTTTAATATTTTTGAAACCATAATGAAGAATTAAAAAAAAGTGCACTAAACTAGTGCATGGGGACTGTTAGTCCTCGTTAGCAACATTGCTCTCAGGTCAGGTCGACCCCCTTTGGAAACCATTGTGGTTAATTTCTATTGAATTTAAAGCGATGGTATTTGTAGAATGTAAATGTTTATTAATACTCCGTAATGTTTAAGATCTCCGGCCGGCAGTCGAGCGTTGTCGAATTGTGCTGCCACCACTAGAAATATTATTATAGTTAGTCGTAGAAACAGAATGCCAATTACTTTATCCTCAGTCTATGACACTAGTACAAGCGTAGAATAAGAAATTTATTCTTATAGTACCAACGTAGGTAGAGTAAATAAAATATCAAATTTCAATACCTTTTTTTATTTATTTATACATATTACAGTTGTTTTTATTTAATGATAAAGGTACAGTCTTGAAAATATTTAAAAAAAAATTATAATTTACAACAAATGAGCGTTACCACGCCCACACGGATACGTCTCGGTACCACATAAGTTATTTACACTTAATTAAAAAAATAAAATTAAAAAATGGTTATCGATATCTTGTATGACAGCCATACACATAATTATGTAGTATATTTACATAGGAATTTCGTTATGATTACACCATTATAATTAATGTCACTGTTAAAAATCAAAACGATGAATCGATTGTGTATTTATCGTTTATAAATATTTAATAATTTTCGTCTAATTTATACAATTATATTTTTTTTTTAATATTATCTATCTATTTAGTGCCAACATTCAATAACGAGTTGTCATATGCAAATTCGACATTCGCGATATATAAGTCTCCGTTACATTATAAAATAGATTTTTTCCAGTTTTACATTTTAATTAATGGAGTATCGTCGAGATGGTAAAATATGTTTCGGATAATATAGTCTAGTGATAAAATAACATTAGCAAACATGGCAGGATAGGTTTCACGTTGATTTATGTTGACTAGGCAGAAATTAATGACATTGCCATTTAAAAATTTATTACCCTTTAATAATTATATGAGAAATCTATTGTTGGTAACACTTATGACATTCAGATTAGATTGGGGCCTACTCTAAATCCATCTCTAAAAAATAAAAATTAATAGTTTAGTGATATTATTAACGTTACGGATCCAAAACAAGGATTCAAAGATCAAAAAAAAGTTTTGATTAAAATCTATTTTAAATTTAGTTCACAGAGGATCATAATAAGAACGTAATAAGTGTTGCTATAATATAAAATTAAAAAATTGCTTTTAGAGATGGTATAGAGAGTTGCTTTTTAATATCGATCTTACATTATTCTAACAGTCGATGTAGATAAAACATATAAATTATATTTTGAAAATATTGGAGTCAACAGATTCTTAATTATACAGTGCCCACAATAATATAGTATTATGACAAAAATATGATATTTTATCATGATAGTTATAATAGACTTGCAAACGCGAGAATCTTTGCCCGTGAAAGGCAAAATGCTTCCTTGAGTCATATACTTGTGTACGTGTTTATTATAACATTAAATTTTATAAGTTCTACTATAACCAATAAATATATGCCAAGAAATGTCTTCGGCATTAATCTCAAGTACTTTACAATTGCATCAGGTTTTATCATACGCAAATATATACGACTGGTCAACGTTGTTTTGCTTTTACTCCTATATGCCTTGTATACAATGTCAGTTCTTAAGAATCTACATTTATTTATGGTAGTAGGTTCTTTCGAACTGTTGGCATAACGATTGAAACCAGAAACTATTATTTCATTTTGTATCAATAAACCATATTGGACACTGTACGTCAACATTAAATATATTTTCTATATAAAATTTAATAGACATTCACAAGGACTGGACAAGATATCAAAAAAAAATGGGATATAATTATTCACATTATTAACAGTAACATATTGATAAATGTCGGATTGTGTGTAGAGCCTTTAATCTGATATATAAACCTTAAACATTAACTATGGACAGATTTGTTCCAAACAAAATCATTATATCGATATCACATATAGTTAAATTGTTGCTTTATGATCTAATATATGTGGCAATTATAATTTACATAAACACCACGATACTATATCCTATGTTATATAAAATGGCAATATCTAAGGGGGTTGTGTTCATTTCAAATCTGCTTTCAAAATGACATTGTTAATAGTGCTTGTCATTTCGCTATAAGAACAATATGTCATCTATATATACAATATAATTAATATGACATATAAGGTTAATGTACTTCGTTATTTATTTATTTTTTAGTAATTTTACAAATATTCATCCATATGGCGATTTATAATATTAAATAGTACAATAAAGTCGTTCCAATATGATATTTTCTTTGTAATTTTTGGCAACTCCGTTCTGGCAAAATCCTAATACCGTATCTACACTTAGTACAATCAAATATTTTTTTTAACTTGATACTTTGATTCCTTATATTGAAAATAAGCTTTTATTTTATGACAATGTCTTTTTAAAACACTTTATTGATTTAAGTTAATAATTGTATCATGATTAAATATAAGTCATTTCAAAATAAAATGGCAAAATTTAATAATTAAAATATTACTTATTATAATACAATAACCCTATAAACTAAAAAACTGGCTATTTACAGTGTGCTGTTATGTTTTGATATTCTTAAATACCGCTGTGTTACACTTAACTATACATTTACAATATCTTTACATTACTTTTACGCACGATGACGTTGAAAGCAGGAAATTTTTTACGTATTCAAAGGTCTATTAAGAATTGCTCAGGTTCGAGCAATCGCGCCTTTATTTATCAAAAGCTAAGATTTTCTGCCGCATGCGACAGTGTTATGGTAAATCAGGTTTGCGAAGGCTCGTCTTCCAAAGGCCGGAACCTAACGAAACCATTTTGAGCAACTAGCATACTGTTCCCTTCTGATTCGTTTGGATTTATTTCATCCTGAGGTTGAGAGTACGAAGCTTCGTACCCACAGTTCCTTGGTGCAGGCTGTGGAGTACCTCCCAAAGCGCAAGGATAATTCCTCTCATTAGGATCTTCCGTAAATCCATATAAATCAGTCGACTTTGGTCTGTCAGGGAATCCGTTGCCTTTGCCACGTTTCTGACTACCACTAGAATTGACCATCGAAGTCGATGGAGAGTTACGACGCTGTGAATTTCTTATCTGTTGACTTGAACCTTCACCGAAACTTCTGTTAGGGTTCAAGGTTTGAATCCCAGATGCGTGATAAGAGGCATTCTCTGTATTGTAATTGCCATACTCATCAGGCATGTGCGGTTGATGATAATGATGGCCCATTGAAGAGTCATATCCCATGGTCATGCAATTTTGAACTATCTTATTTTTAGGTCTGTGCTTTTTCCGTGGATTACTATTTGTTCTGGACGATACTCGATCGTAAGACATATGTTTAAAGTTGTGCGAACTACGATTGGAACCTCCATTGTAGTTTTGGTTTTTAATGTCACGGATGAAGTCACTGTTGCTTCCGTATTGGATAACATTATATTCATGGTCCATAGGATCGTCACCTTGTAACGATTGAATCGCAGGATCACAATTGGAGTAGTGATCATCTGAAGCAGATTCTATGCCGTTATACCCGGCCATGTTAGGATGATGTTTGATCAAATGATTGGTCACACCTTGACTAGATGTGGCATTACTGGATTCTGTAGTTGAACTACTATGACCAGCATTGGCAATGGAACTATGTCCTGAATAGTTTTCTGTTCCAGAATTATTGTCACAATTCCCTGTTAATGTATTCAGTTGGAATCGCGGATGGTCGACGGGCATGCAACACTGATCAGGCATATTGGGATGATGTCCGGCTGTTTCATAAATTGGTTTGCCAGTTCTTAATGTATAGGTATGAAGGTTTGTATTTGTACCGCATATTGCTGGAAAGTCTGATTCAAACTGATCGTTACTAGAGCCAGCAGTACATGGGAACAGGCCTAATCCAGAAATCTTAGTGCCGTCTGTTTTTTCTTGCTGTAAATGTGCCCCGATACCAACTTTCAAACTAATGACCCAAGAGATAAGAGCTATAATTGTAATTTCTATGAAACGCAACGTTGACTGATATCCCCATTGCAACCAATCTAGCTTGGCCATATTGACTTGGTTTATACCAAATATTCCGAATATTTGGAGTACCGCTATCAGAACAAAGAGTAATGCAGTAGCCAAATTTATCTGTATCGCTTGATACAAATTTTGGTAGCTATTCACATAGGTATGACTCTTTTTCTTAACAACAGATTTGAGCAATTTATATACATAGAGATAGCACAGCCCTAATGTGAGGCATGCCATGATAAATATAATTTGGCAAGTTAGACCTAGTACCCTTTTTTCGACTCCACTCGGAGTTCTATAAACCGTATTACTATTTTCAAAGATATGCAACATCACACAAGACAATACGTGAAGTGTGCCACCTATTATAATCGTCCTTGGACGAAACAAGAAAGAACAGCATGTGTTCTTCGAGTTTATAGCTTGTGATAAAAGGAACAACGTCGTGCTCGCGAAAGCTATGCTTAAGAAAATATCCGGCACATGGAGCAAGATTTCGCTGATAAAAATTGGCAACGAATTATTAATATTATACGGATCGTAGCACATAAAGAAGATCCTCATTAGGCAGACGAACACTAACTGTAAATGTAATATTATGAAGTAATATTGTGCAAACAAATGTGTGAACCTATCATAGAATATGATCTTAAATATAGAATATACAGCTAATAATGTAAATATAGCGGTTGCTAAATAAATATGAACGTTCCATGCGAAAGGCCAGCTGACGCCGGGCCTTTGTACTGGTCCACTATTCTTAGAATCCTGTTTCAGTATCTTTTTATCAGAATTAACATTAGCTAAATTATGATATCTCTCCGTGGACATTTCGGGATCTCGCAATTCGAAACCGATCGTTGTCGCTGGAGTATAAATATCATCCTTTCTACTGTCATTCTTATCTGTCTGTTTGTTTGTTGCGTACTGAAGATTTCTTCTGGTATTGGTTTCACCATTTTGATCTATGATTAGTGGTCTATCTAGATTGTTCATTTCGGGATCTAGTACAGCTAAAACGGATCCTTCTGTGGATGTATCCCTGTTTGTTTCACTAAGCGTTACTCCTGCATCTTTGGTGACGTAAATGTCACTTTTAGATGTTTTTTCTTGATTGTGTTGTGGTTTCGCCGTAACGGTTCGCAAGAGGACGTCAGGTATATCCTCTTTTCGGCCGTTGGAGCCTGATAGTATTCTTGATATGGTAGGTATGTTAAGGGAATTAGGAACGAAATCCGTGAAATTCGCTTGGTCAGTATTCTTCACGTCTCCGTCTAGTTCTTCAGGCTGGAAAAGTAAAAGTACTTTATTAATAATTGCAAAGAAATTAATAGAAGGCAATTCATTAACTTCCTTCCTTTTCCGTAGGAAAGACGGTCACCTTCTTACGTGTTGTAAGAAGCGACTAAGTGAATTTATTGGTCGAGGGATGGGCGGTAGCGTCTCTTTTAAAAAAACATCGCCAAAACCTAACTGCGGTTGCTAATCCAAAACTTTCAACGCAAAACCTTCTAAGGCGGAGACCTTTGTTTAGCAGAAGTCAGTTAACGGCTGATATGTTGATGATGATGACAATGATGAATTCAATAACTAATAATTTCAAGTAAGTCTTTGTTAGATTTAGATTATTAATGACGAGTTAATAATTTTAAGGCTATTATTCCATTAATAACTGATATGAGTTGCGAATTGTATGGGATTTGCCAAAAGTACAATAAAAGGAAATAAATATCTCTAATTATGTAGAAAAGTTACTATATAATTCCGAAGTTACTGAAACTCGCATCATGTTAATTTGGGAAGTAATCCAGAGGGGTAATATTACCAACCTTATGGCTTGGAGTATTGAGTGCTTTTTTCTTCTGCGGCTCGATGCCCGCAGGAGGTATAGGAGGAGCAGGGGGCGGTGCCGGTACTTGAGGCGAGGACGTCTCCTGGAATTGGGAAACGGTGTTTCAAGTAGTGTTGCACGAAGTCACTCGAGTACTGACTCGAACACCTAAGTACTCAGGTACTTGAATACTCAATATACAGAATTCGAATACAAATTTCGAGTACTTACAGTACTCTAGTAGTAGTCGTGTGTTTATTATTAGTTTTTATATTTCTTTTTCATTATTATATTAGTTTTTACTTAATTATTAAAGAAAAAATATTAAATAAAAATTTAATATCCACATTTAAATCAAACTTTAGAAATCAAATCATCACAAGCATTAGAGTCTGATGGAGTACTTGAGTCAGAGTTGCCAAACTCGAGTCAGAATTCGATTATGTTTCAACGATTACCAAAATATTCGGTTACAAAAAAGTCGACTTGGCACACCCCTAATTTCAAGTGCTCCCAGAGATTAGGCTGCCCTACGAGTGCGATTGATTTTCCTGAATATTTTTACATATTACATAACAAATGCAAGAAAACTGAGCTTTGTATCCTATAAAATAAGACATATTTTCCCCTGTACCACTCGAACTAATGATTGTACTTAATGTTTCAAGTACAGTAATAAGTAGATGTACTTATTTATGAGAAATTTGTTCTGGGAATTGAATATTAATATTGCAGCTACAGTTAATTAATTACATCACATTTATTGATAAAGTATCAAGTGTTATTAATATTTAATCGATCTAATCGGTTTAAGTGATCCTTATAAGTTACATCGATATATTTAGACATTGGGCTTTAACAGTATCGTACGCTTTGCTTACAAACTTTTGAAATTTTGTTGTGTCGAATTTTCAGAAATATATGACAGATATCTTAATTTTGTTTTAAATTTAAATCTATTTATATAATATTAAGAAATTGGTCATAATAAGTTATATTTATTTAAAAATAAAATTATTTATTATAGAATTTAATTCCATTGCTAGCAATATACGTTATAAAGATAAGGAGGTCGTCCTTACAGGGGGAACCCCCTGGCAACCATCGTGTTTGTTGAAATTGTCACGATGGGTCAATTGTCCTTTCTCCTCACCTATTATAATCTTTTACTGTTGCCCCGCCACTGTATACCGATAACACAGGCGGGGTTACCATTCCATTATTAGCCATTAAAAAAAGACTTATGTTTTAAACGTAAAAATAATAAAGATAAATATAATTTTATCTTTTTTTTTTTTTTGGTTTGATGAATACTCTTTCTGATTAAAAATTTTGTTATACATATTTTCTTCACTTTGTATATACATTTTAAACATGCGTTTTACAAGTGAAATTAAACATTTTCATTAAACATGAGTTGAAAAATTTACTACGTTTTTTACCGTTTTTGAATTTTTGTTACAAAAAATTTTGATAAATTCTTAATTTTACGTACGGCTAACGATCTCGCTTACGCCTTATATATATAAATAGATATAGGAAAATGTATTAAATATGTTAAATTGTAAATAGTCAGCTTTGGAGCAATACAATTATTTATGTTGTGAGTAAACAAGTATTTTCCTGGAAATCCAGCAAATTACAGAGTTTTATGCGCGTATATTTTAAATAGGTAATTATTAACTTTCAGATATTTCTATTAATTACGTACACGTGTACATTTATAAAATGATGTTAAATAGAAATGTATTTTTTTTTTATATAACACAGGGCGCAAACGAGCATGTGGCCCACGTGATTGTAAGTGACTACCGCCGCCCATGATCACCCACAACACCAAAGGCATTGCAGGTGTGCTGCCAACCTTTTAAAAAGGAATATATGCTCTTTTCTTGAAGGATATGATGTAGTATCATTACAAAGTTACAGTCATAGTAAACAGAGTCGAATCGAAGTCATTAGCATTAAATTAAGGGAATGCTCTAATAGCAAAGTTAAATATATAATTCCTAGCTCTAAAAGCCATGCTACAATAAAATAAAAAAAAAAAAACAAAAACAAAGAAAAAAAAGAAAATTTTATAAAATGATAAAATGTTTGTCTGATAAAATTTTACCAATCGTGCAATAAATACGTGTATGTAGTTTTAGAATTTTTATTATAACACTATGTGTTACTATCGAGAATTGTCCATAACTCAAAATCTTATAAACTGAACGATTACTTGAATAGCAAACGCGCATGCTGTAAGTCGATCTTGTACAGGCTTTCAAATGGCTATATTATTTTAGACGTAATACCTACATTAAAATACACATAATTTCAACAAAAATTTAAAAGTAACTGTTGAGCTTTACGCGAGTTCTTGTTATCAGATAACAAAATTCCGAACCCAGCAGTAGAATCATAAAAGTTTACCATTTAAAAGAGCTTGTAAATAAGTCTATTTTAAAAAAAAAAGAGATTCTACTATATCCTAATATAGGTAACTTTTACTTCTGTATAAAACGTATCCAGTTTGCAGAGGCTATAAGACTTATTGGTGTTTACCTGTCCAGGAGGTCGAATAGGGATCCTCTCATGTCCCGGGCCGAGGGAAGGAGGGGGGATAGGCCGCCTGTTGAGATAATTGTTCCCATCTGTGTTGGTGCCTGAAAAACAATACATTACATTAATAATATAATATTATTATATAATATATTTATAATTTGATTACCTCAATATAAGCATATTACATTGTATTTTACTGTTATGAATTGTGAAGAGTAAATAAATCTATTTATTATTTATTATTAATATTGTGTATTTTCATTTAAGATAATAAAATATTCAATGGTTGAAAAACAAAGAACAACATTTTCATAAAATGATTGCATTCAGTTGAATTGTCTTGCATTGTAATTTAAAAATACGACATCGCGTAATTCGAAATTGTGTGAACATACAGGGTAAAATAACTAACATATTTTTAGGGGGTGTTTTACCTATGAAATTGAGACACATATGTAACGAGAATTTCATAAATTCAACTAATTAAATTAATTAACTATGCGACCGCAGTGCGAGGCGAGACGGTGTGACGCAAAGCGCCGTACGCCCCCTGAAGAAGACGTACGGATGAAGTCGAAACAATTGTCGGAAAGGACAAAAACACGGTGAATTTATTAATTTCCCGTTACATATGTATGTATATGGACATCGGATAAAAAGTGTACATAAGTTAAAAAAATATAACCGAGATTTAAGTGACAAAATATTTAGTGCATCTAACTTGGTCAAGTTCATCTTTCCAGCGGTCGCTGGACGCACCGTGTTCGGTTTCCACCTCATATTTCTTGGGAAGGAATGTTTATTTGAACTGAGAGAACACTTTCTTAAAAGTCATAATTTCGACCCTGTATTTGTTTTCCACTCCGTCATTTAACTTCAACGACAAAATGGTTTTATAAATTAGAAAGACATTTGGTAGGTAGATAAGGAAAGATTACCACGTTATAGGATACTTTTCCATAGCCACGACTTACAGCTTTAAATTTCACGAAAAAAATGAAAAGCGATAATCGTGTTTTGTAAACAAACACTATGAATATCATAGGTTCTGTAGGACACATGTAATTAAACACTTTTTCTCCAAGGTTTTCGTATTTCATCACGCTTGTGTTAGGATTTTTCTGGTGTTAAAAAAGAATCTTATTGGTAGAAATATGAGTAGGCAAACAATGTTAACGCCTTGATATGCACCACTGATACAATCTCCTAATCTCTGAATACCCACTTGTTCTTAATCTAATCTAGACAAATGGACATTTGACTCAACAAATTCTTGAAACCACTCCTTTATTCAATCATTAACATTGTTTATTTCTGTAGAATCAGTGTTTTCGTAACTATGGCGTTATTGTAGATTTAATTGTAATTTACCTGGATAGGTTATGGCCTTTTATATATATCTACCTTGATACAGCAATCAATTTATACCATGTTTGGTCTGAAGAGTTATAATTAATAATAATTTCCAATAAATATTACATACATAAGAAGCACAATACCTTTAAATGGGGGGAAAGGGATTGTTAGCAATGGAGTTTGACAGCCCCATTGCTAGCAATATGCCTTATTAGGTCGACATCCACGTGGTTCCCCCTGGAAACCATCGTGAACAATTCTTGTTGAATTCGTCACGATGGGCCAACTGACCTACTTCATCCTCACCTATCAAAGGTTGCCTGGAAGAAATCGCTCTTAGCGATAAGGCCGCCCATTGTTTTCTCATTGTGATTATTTCTTGTAATTATTTATATTTATAATAAGTTTACTATTGTAATCTTTTGGAGGAAACAATAAAGAGTATCTATCTATCTATCTATCCCATAGTACTGCTCATGTCTATAGGCGCCGGTTACCACTTTCTATCAGACGGGCCGTCAGTTTGTTTGCCATTCTAAGTTGCATAAAAAAACGTAGTCTATATCTGACTATGAAAATTAACATCTTTCAGTCTCCCTTTGGAATTTTTATTGTGTAAATAATAATCTGTAAGGTACAACTGGCATAGAATTAATCAAGCTACGATTTTGTTTTACAACACAGGGGGTAAACGAGCATGCGGCTCACCTGATGGTAAGTGACTACCGCCGCTCATGATCACCCACAACACCTACGATAATTGCTTACCACACTACCATATGTGGGCCCTTAACTTACTATACAAAGTATAAGAAGGTGTTTATTTCATCATTACCTCTAAGTGTAGGCTTGTCTGCGAACGGGTTTCTGTACTCCGGGGGCAGGGGTGGTGTGAAGAATGCGCGGCCGGGTGGCGCGTACGATGGGACCGCTCCACCCACGCCCGCCAGCAACGCCGCGCCATGGTGCTGTGGTGGCCTGCCGACAAACAAATACACATCAGCACAACCAAGTTCATCAATAATCAATTTGTAATTGAACCAAAATTACGACGAATAGTGCTATGTTTCTTGTTTTTTTTTTTTTTAAATGGGTGATGATGGAGTGGTAACCCCGCCTGCGCTAACGGTATACATTGGCGAGGCACCAGTGAGGGATGATAGGTAAGGATGAAAAGACAGGTCAGTTAGCCCATCGTGATGAATAATTAATACGATTGAAATTCAGCACAATGGTTTCCAGGGGGCACCACGTGGAGGTCGACCTGGTTGGGTATATTGCTAGCAATGAGGCCCTTTGTCTCCATTATTAACAATCCCTCCCCCTCATGATTCTTATGTTACATATAGTACTGGCCATCTTAGGTTGAAATACACACATACACACACTCAATATTGTTTCATACAAAAGCAGATAGTAAAGCGAGAGAGAAGATTGTCAGATAAAACTCCGCAACTAGCAGAATTTTTGTACAAATCATCAATCACTTCATCTATTATTCTATTGTCGACATATGTCGATCTATGCATTCTATTGTCGACAGTAAGCAGAACTAACCGGAATTCGCGTTCTAACTCATATTATATTACATCGGGAAGTCTTCATGTACAAACTCTTGATACTAGAGGGCGCCATCTATACACGAGTACTATGAATTGAGAGGTCGAACCAACTATTTTCTAAGTAATTCTAAGAACACAATTTACTATTAGTACCCACGGTAGATATTTCATAGAGTTTAAAGTGTACCTGGCAACTCAGGTGGGACCTGAATTCTACTTAATGTTCGAGAGAGAATAAAGTTTTATTAAGTAGATACATATAGAAAATTATCTAAAATGTATAGATACTGACTAGCTGTATCTCACGGCATTGCCTGCGTGTATCAGTATATACAGTATCCTCTGTGTTGAGTTACCAAATAGCATACCAGTATACCAAATTTCAAGTAGAAATACATACGGGCAAAGTACGGGCGAGAAATAACGTTGTGTGGTCCCGGAATTGAATAGACCAAGCCAAGCGTGGCAACTACTGACAAAACTCCCCTTATGGGGAAGGCTTATCAGCGGTGAACAGTTAAATAGATACGGGCAAAGTCGCGAGAAAGAGTTAGTAACCGTATAAAATATTTTGCGACAAACAAGCTATTGAACGCGTTTCATTCCAGTATATCGTCCTGTCCCAATACATCCAGTACACACGTCCGCCATTGCTGTTCAATGGGGCATAATATTTCAATAAAACGACGCTCAACAGATTTGCATTCTATTGTCGACAGTAAGCAGAACTAACCGGAATTCGCGTTCTAACTCATATTATATTAATGCAATCATATCTGTGGAGTTGGCTTTTGTTGTTTATTCGGGGAAATGTCTGCATAAACATGATAATGTTTATAATGTCAGTTTAAATTTCAAATTCTTGGAATATGATTGCACAATAATTCTTATCTACGAGTAGTACTAACGTAAAAACTTAAAATAAATTGACATTCCTTTTTTGTAGCTTTGGTATATGTATATATTTTTTTTTATACAACTTAGAATGGCAAACAAGCTGACGGCCCACCTGATGAAAAGTGGTAACCGTCGCCTATAGACGTGAGCAGTACCATGGACATAACAGAGTATACTGTTTCGCCCATGATACCCCCCATGCGTTGCCATTCCTGAGGACTCAGGTGTTATTCCTCTGTACCCTGTAAATTCACGCCATATCCCACCCTTCAAACCGAAACACAGCCTTGCAAACACAACTGTTTCACGGTAGAAACACAAATGGGTTAGAGGTACCCAAGGAATCGACTTTTGTACAAAGTCTCCCTCTGGTGATCCTATTTTAATGCTTTAAGTTTGTTATATGTATATCTTAAATTAAAAAGAGTGTCTTCATACAAATGCTTCGAGAAAAACGTGTCAACTTTTTCATACAATTTAGCGCGATAAATAATTATGAGTAAATCCTTTGTAACTTCTATATTTATTTTGGTTTATAATTTTCGGCATCTTTTTAAAAACTCATTTATTATTATAAATAATTAAATATAGATAGGTCAAGGTACGTTATGTGCGTAAGTATATAGAACAATAATAAAAGAAAACGAGTCAGCTAATTTGACAATTAACTGACAAAAGTTGACCCGTTTTTGAGACTCGATGCTCTATCTATACAATTTAATGTATATTAAAACAAACTTATAACACCCCTCTTTTTATATCGGGGATTAAAAATTAGAGAATTACTATTAAAACCGGGCTAATATGGGGTCATTGACATTAATAATGGCAAACTCAACGCACATTGAGATTTGGTGGGACAAATTCAAAATCGAGATTTTATCGCGTCGCGTTTTTTTTTTATTCTAATGTCGTCAACCTTACAATACGACTAGTTTAAGTAGACCCTTCGTCCCGTACATCAGATATGGTTTAGAGATGTCCAGCGAACTATCGACGTTCTAGTATGGAAATGACAAGGATTGGCATTATGCCCATTTGTTTTGTTATTCAGTCCGATTTATACTCAAACCGCATTTTAATGATTTCTGTGAATTGTAAAAAATATGGTATTTTTATCTAATCATCATCATCATATCAGCCATTAACTGTCCACTGATGAACATAGGCTTCTCCCGTAGACTGCCATAATGAACGGTCCTGAGCCACCTGCATCCACTGACTCACTACAATGTACTTAAGATCGTCACTCCTTTTAGTGAGAGGTCGTCTTACACTGCGGTTGCCCAAACGAGGTCGCCACAATTTTTTTCTAATACAAGAAAAACTACACTCTATTGATAAAAATATATAATTGTTAACTTCAAGTTAATATATTTGGCGAAATCAAATGATCTGTAGTGCGCGGTAAAAAAATAAATTCATTGATTACAATTGTTTATAATACTCTTATTTTACTAGCTGTATCCAGCGGCTTTGTCCGCGTGAATTAGTACAAACATTATCTTATGTCATAAGCTATGATATAAACTACCCGTGTACCGAATTCTATACAAATCCGTTTAGTAGTTTTTGCGTGAAAGAGTAACAAACATCAGTCCATCGTCATAAACTTTCGCATTTATAATTTTAATAGGATTTTTATCTGGAGTCTGATTAATAAAACAAATAATTAATGAAATCGGTTCGGTTTATTATTCGGTGTATTATTTATTATTTACATTGTGATATTTTTCCACCTTAAAACGATAGTTTCAAGCATATATGAAATAACACTACCAGCCGACAGATGGCGGTAGCTGGCACATTAAAAATAAATTGAAAAACGTATAAATACAAATCTTACAAAAATTAATTATTTGAAATATTTTATAAAATGTATACATACTTGAAAGTATAAGAATTTTAAGAAAAAAAGTAACGCTCGAGTTTTGTTACTACTGTACGGAAGATGGCGCTACTATGAATATTCCTTGACGCAATGCGTATAAAACTTAACGTTACTTTTATTCTGATTATATAATTCACATTTTTATATTAAGTACATATTAAAATATTAAGTTCGCTTTGGATTGGATCACTTTTATACGGAAAAAGTACCAGTTAAATCAATATGTACAGTATAAATTTTTCTGAAATGTTTTAAATTTTGACATTATTTCCTACTAGTTTCTACCAGAGGGAGACTTTGTACAAAAGTCGATTGCTTGGGTACCTCTGTCCCATTCGTGTTTCTACCGTGAAGCAGTTGTGTTTGCATGGCTGTGTTTCGGTTTGAAGGGTGGGATATGGCGAGAATTTACAGGGTACAGAGGAATAACACCTGGATCCTCAGGAATGGCAACGCATGAGATGTATCATGAGCGAAACAGTACACTCTGTAATGTCCATGGTACTGCTCATGTCTATAGGCGACGGTTACCACTTTCCATCAGGTGGGCCGTCAGCTTGTTTGGCATTCTAAGTTGTATAAAAAAAATAGTTCTTTGGCCACTATTTTTACGCGTGGATTTCAGAAGCAGAAAAATCAATTACATAAACTACATTTGAATGGCGTATCAAAATAACATACCAGTTTTAACGTAAGGCCTCTAGGAACACAACTATGAAAATCGCATTCAATTTGGTGCTGGAGTTTTGTGAGATGCGGGAACAAACATGTAATACAGACATACATATAGACAACAAAATTTCTTAAAATTATTGTTTGACTCCTATTACTACTAGACCTTATGTATTTCTTTTTTAAATATTTTCCATTAAATATAATATAATAATAAAATGATAACGCCAGCTACATTTCTATTATATTAGAAGATTGCTTATTATATTTACTGAAATTAACAAACAGTATTAGGAACTACCTATAGTTAGTTACATAGATATTTTTCTAAATACAGCAAATTATTATTTATTTTTTGTTTATTTATTTATTGGTATATCGACAATGTTACATATATATATATATATATATATATATATATATATATATATATATATATATATATATATATATACACATCATTGGATATATAATATTCATGTGGAATGTCTTACAGCTGTTTGTTTATTTGTAGCAATTTATTGTACAGTAAAGTCTTAGATTATAGGATATATAGGATTATAGTTCTTAAGAAAAAAAAAATTAATTGAATAAATTAAAAAAAAAATACTACCACAGATAACTATTAAAATAATTATAATAACCTGGACAAATAAAAATAATATGTATATAAATGCATATATTATTGTAGTATTTGAGGGTATCAAGTTACACTATTGAAGGTAACTAAGAAACAAAATGTCATTTAGTCTGTAACCGACCAGTAAACAAGTAACAGTAATCTTGCATTTTTATTTCGATATCTCTGGAAAAACATTACATATTGGCGACGAGGATGGGATATGGTATAAAGTTCATTAAATTCTCATTTATATATAATATAACCAATCAATGGTAATTTAATGAAATTTAATTTAAAAATAACATGCATTTAGACGTCGAAATAAACCTATCAA